ATCTATTTGCCAAAATTTTTGTAAAGATCTTATAATCAACATTCAATAATGAAATTGGCCTATAATTCTTAGGCTCTGTAAGATCCTGATCTTCCTTCGGAATCAGTGATATAAAAGCTCTTTTCCAAGAAGGAGGAACTTGCATACCCAACAAAATACTATTAAAGAGTTCCTTTAATGGCTCTATCATTTCTTCAGATAAGATCTTATAATACCTAGAAGTCAGTCCATCTGTTCCAGGAGACTTTCCAACCTTTAACTGCTTAATAGCTAAACCAATTTCCTCCACAGTAATTGAACTATTCATCCCATTTTGTTGTTCCTCTGAAAGTCTAGGAAAATGTACTGATTGTAAATATTTATCTATATCCAAACCCCTTATATTATCACTTGAATATAATTTTGTGTAAAAGTCCAAAAAGCTTTTTCTAATCAAATCTTGCTGAAAAACCTCAGTACCTTTATATTTTACTTTCTCTATAATTCTAGCTTTCTGTTTCTTTCGTAACTGATAAGCCAACCACCTCCCAGGCTTATTCGCATTGCAAAAAGTATTATGTCTCATGTACGACAGATTGGTAGCCACCTGATCTGCCATCAACATGTTAAATTGTTCCTTAAGCATCTTTATAGATACCTTTAAATTATTATCAGTAGGATTAAGAACCAACTCTTGTTCTTTTGATTTGATCTCTTCTTCTATTTCTCTACGTCTTTGTGACCCTTTTTCCCTAAAAACTTTATTCAATTGAATCAAAATTCCCCTCATATATGCTTTACTAGCGTCCCACACCATAGACATCGATGTTCCCTTATTCATATTTATAGTAAAAAAGTCCTTTAAATGTTCTTTACACTTTTGTACGAACTCCTCCCGATTAAATAAGTTCTCATTCAATCTCCAGGATCTTCTATTCCCGTCTTCCGAATATAACTCCATCCACACCGGACTATGATCTGACAATGTTCTAGGAAAAATTTTCACCTTCCTCACTCTAGGGAGGAAGTCACTAGTAATCAAAAAAAAATCAATCCTTGAAAATGACTGGTGTCTATCAGAATAAAAGGTAAAGTCTCTATCACTTGTATTCCTTTCTCGCCAAATATCAATAAGCTCCAGTTCTTCCTTCAAATCAAAGAAAGTCATAGGTAGTTTAGTTTGAATAAAAGTTTTAGAGGAACTTCTTTTGTCTATAGTTGGGTCTAAAACCCCATTCCAGTCACCCATCAAAATTACCGATTTATAATCCAACTGAGATATCTTGCCATGCAGCAACTTATAAAATTGTTTCTGTTGTTGATTGGGAGCATATAGTCCAACAATAAGAACCTTTCGGCCTTGTAATAATAATTCCACAAAAAGATATCTTCCTTCAGAATCAGCCTCAATTAGTTTAGCTGAAAAAGTTTTCTTCACATAAATTACCACTCCCCCTTTTTTCCCAGGGGCTGGAGCAATAAAATGTATGCGCAGACGGGAATTCATCAAGAATTTAGAATCCTTTAAAGTTATATGAGTCTCCTGCAAACATATCAAATAATTATTATGTTGTTTCAAATAATGGAAAATCTTTCTTCGTTTCTGGGGTACGTTTAAGCCATTAACATTCCAGGTCAGGAACCTGACCATCTCCACTGGCCTGGAGCCTCTGGAGCATGGCCTGCAGATCTGCTGTCGAAGATCTTTTGGGTCTTGCCCCTCCCACAGGCTGAACCTCTTTTTTTTTGTACATGGCGGCGGAGGCCTAAAGCGAAAAGGTTTTATAAAACCCAGCTGAAGGCCTAGGACTGGGGCGACGGTGCGCGTACCCACAGAGAGGGCTCTTGAGTGCCGACTCTGGCACCCGTGCCATAGGTTCGCCACCACTGCTCTATGTTCTGAGTTTTTATTATCCAACATCATAAATCAAAGTCTTGTCGCCATTAGCTGCTAAACTGTGCAATAACCAGGTCTGAAGGACTAGGGGGGACAGGATAGCAATCTTCCAATATTGGAGGGGCTGCCACAAAAAAGAGGGGGGGGTCCACTTATTCTCTAAAGCACCTGCAGGCAGGGCAAAAACAAGAACTAATCAAGGAGAGAAGCAGCCTGGAATTAAGGAGAAAACCCCTAACAGTGAGGACAATTAACCAATGGAACAGCTGGCCACCAGATATCGTGGGTGCTTCGTTACTGGAGGATTTTAGGAAGAAACTGCGCAGCCGTTTGTGCAGAATAGCGGGGGTCTCCTGCTTGAGCAGGGGGTTGGACTAGATGGCCTCTAAGATCCCTCCCAACTCTGTTATTTCCCGACAGTTGGAACAATTAACCTGTGGAACGGCTTGCCTCCAGACGTTGTGGCTGCGCCATCCCTGGAGGTTTTTAAGAAGAGACTGGACAGCCAGCTTGTCTGGAATGGCATAGGGTCTCCCTGTTCGAGCAGGGGGCTGGTCTAGAAGACCTCCAAGGTCCCTTCCAGCTCTTTTCTGATGGATGGATTCCTGGCAAGGTTAGACAGGCCATCCCTCGTTTTTTGGCATGGGGAAGGGTTGCAGGTGGTGGGAAGCCCCCTCCCCCCCATCTGCACTCGGCTCGGCTTTTCACGATGAAAGGGATCGCTCTTTGATTGCAGCCCAACGGAGAACCAGGGCATACAACATTGTCGTAATTTCCTTCATCAAAGGCGAGTGATGTCAGTCACCGTTTCCCTTTTTCTTCTTCTCTTTCTCACAACCCCCCTTTCCCCTGCCCCGCCGTCCCCGAAAACAATGTTAAAATCCTCCGTTTTCATCTCATCTCTGATCTTTTTTTGTTTCCCTTTTTTCAAATGGCCCCCGTGGCTTCTGGAAGTGCCCTCCATCCGTCCAGCTGTCGGGTTTCCTTCTCAAAGGAAGATGAGCGAAATATTTCCTTTTTCATTCCGACAGCTTTTTTAACGTGCGGACCGGCAGGAAAGGGGTGGGCGGGAGGCCGGTGTGTGGTGTTTGTGCGTTATCACATTCCGGTTTGGGGAGGGGGGGTGTGTGTGTGTCAGGGAAAGAACGGGGGTCTACGAGGCTGCTGCCCTGTTCCTTTCCAGCTGCCTGATTATATTTTGTTTTTCAACACGGGGTGATTTAGCTGCACCTTAAAGCTCCGGAGTGCCCCTTTGATCTTGACTCCTGCACTCCGGTAGGAAACGCAAGCAGCCGTGTGGAAGCAAACAAGAGGGGGCTAATGGGATCAGAGGGACCTTAAATAACTCTCCCACCACACAGACACACACAGACACACACAGACACACACACACAGAGTTTGGTTAGGATGTTACAGCTGCTGACACCTTGCCGAGTCCTTCCCGAGTCCTGCCCCTGATGAATGTTTTGCTGCAAATTATCACCCCTACTAAACCTTTGGAAGGGGATTAACCAAGATCAAAGGTAGCGTTCTGTATACAGCACAGCAGACTTGAAAGGGACCCCGCAGAGGTCTTCTAGACCGACCCCCTGCCGTTTCAGACAAAACGGTTGTCCACTTTCTTTTTGCAAACCTGTGATAAGAACACCCACACTTTTTGGAGACGGAGTTGTTCCACTGGTGAATTGATAACAGGTAGCAGGATAACCGAGTTGGGAGGGGTCGTGGAGGTCATCTAGTCCAGGGCTTTTCAACCTTTCCACCCCTTGTACCACTTTTAGGATACGGCAACATCCGAGGGCCACCAGTCGCCTAGCAAGGTGTCAAAAACTGGATGACCAAAAAAAAAAAAAGTGATAAAATACAGGTAGTCCTCGACTTACAACAGTTCGCTTAGTGACTGTTCGAAGTTACAATGGCACTGAAAAAAAGGCCCCCCAAGTCACAGCTGAGAAAGACACCTGCCTGCCCGCCCGAAGGGCGCTCTTCCTTCTGTCTGAGGTTTCCATTGTTGTGAGCATTTCTGTTGAGGATTGGCAACGAGGCTGGGATGGGGGGTGTTTGGTTTTTATTCCCCCCGTCTGCTGGGTGGTTGTAGCAGGTTTTGGTCCCTTCACATGACCCTGGGACACTGTGACCGTCATAAATATGAATCGGTGGCCAAGCATCTGAATGTAAATCACAAGACCCTGGAGAGGCTGCAACATTCCAGCTGATCGGCGCTTCTTCAGGGCTCAGCAGAAGCTCCAGGATCAGTGCTGCTTTCCAGCTGATTGGTGCTTCTTCAGGGCTCAGCAGAAGCACCAGGATCAGCGCTGAGCTCCAGCTGGAGCCTGGCGCTGATCCTGGCGCTTCCACTGAGCCCTGACAGTCCCGAAGAAGCACCGATCGGCTGGAAAGCGGCGCTGATCCTGGGGCTTCCGCTGAACCCTGACTGCCCTGCAGCTCCAGCCGTCTCTCGCTCAGGCTTGTGCGGTGCTGCCCCCGGTTCAGCTCATTCTCCTCCCCTGCTACCCCTTTTCTAGGATGGTCACGTACCACCTGCCAGGTGCCAATGTACCACAGGTGGTTCCCCTACCACTGGTTAAAAAACCCTGATCTAGTCCAAACCCCTCACCCCCACTCAGGCAGGAGACCCTATACCGGTTCAGACACGAAGGTAAATGCAAGCATTAATACACTAGTCCTTGACTTAGGACCGCAACGGAGCCCAAAATTGACGTTGTTAAGCAAGAGGGCTTTTAAGTGAATTTTGCCCCATTTTGCGATCTTGGTCGTTAAGTGAATCACTGCGGTTGTTAAGGTGGCAACTTCAGGCTGTTAAGTGAACCTGGCTTCCCGTGTTGATTTTGTCAGAAGGTCGCAAAAGGGGATCATGTGACCCCGGGACGCTGCCACCATCATAAATACGATCACTTAAGTGTGAAAAACGGTCCTTTTTTTCCAGGGCCGTCATAGCTTCTGAACGGTCATTAAGCGAACTGTTGTAAACTGAGCACTGCCTGGAGCCTTCTTGCTGATTCTAACCAAGGTGCGCCTGGCTCCAAATAAAGACGTGAAATGGAGATATTTTTTTTGTCCATCCGCTAGCTCTAAAATGGTTTGTTTTCTTTTTCTTCCCCAGTTTTCACCAACTACTACCACGGCCCAAGACCGCAAACATTGTCCATCAACAACACCACCCTCTTGCTGAACATCTCGACAGAACGTCCCTCGATGGGAAATGAGAGCGACAGTCCTTCGGACACCGCGCACGAGGGTCGAGAAACTGCCGTCCTGAGTCTGATGCTCATGCTGGGCACCTTGTGGCTTGGGCACACACTCTATCAGTTCAAGAAAAGGTAATAATAATAATAATAATAATAATAATAATAATAATAATAATAATAAAGTTGGAAGGGACCTTGGAGGTCATCTAGTCCAACCCCTTGCTCAGGCAGGAAACCCTATTCCATTTCAGACAAATGGCTGTCCAGTCTCTTCTTAAAAACTTCCAGTGTTGGAGCATTCACCGCTTCTGGAGGCAGGTTGTTCCACTGGTTAATTGTTCTCACTGTCAGGAAATTTCTCCTTAGTTCCAGGTTGCTTCTCTCTTTGGTGAGTTTCCATCCGTTGCTTCTTGTCCTGCCTTCAGGCACTTTGGAGAATAGCTTGACTCCCTCTTCTTTGGGGCAGCCCCTGATTTACTGGAAGACTGCTATCATGTCCCCCCTTGTCCTTCTCTTCATTAAACTAGACATCCCCAATTCCAGCAACTGTATCAATTGATGCCAATGGCACGGGGGTCCTGTGGCTGATTTTTATCAGTTTGTTGGTGTTTCTCAACCCTCGGCCTCGGGAAGACGCGTGGACTTCAACTCCCAGAATTCCTCAGCTGGGCCTTTTGGAAGTTGCCACAGTTGAGGAATGCTGCTCTGTGCCCATTATGGGAGACTAGCACAAAAAGTCATCATTATCTTCCTCCTCCTCCTTTTCTTCCTCCTCTACCCTCACTTTCTTCTAGCACTGATGATGTTATCTAGTTGGGTCATGAGACGTCTGCAAGAAAACCACCAAGCTCAGAGAGCACCAAGGACCCCACAGTCGTCGTCGCCCTCCTCCTCCTCCTCCTCCTCCTCCTCCTCCTCCTCCTCCTCCTCTACAAAGCCATTCCCTTCTTGCACTGATGTTGTCACCTAGTTGGGTCATGAAACATCTGCAAGAAAAAAACAAACCCTGAGAGCACCAAGGTCCTCACACTAACAATCTCCTCCTCATCCTCATCCTTCTCTTCTCCTCAACCCTCTATTCCTTCTAGCACTGATGATGTTACCTAGTTGGTTCATGAAACGTCTGCAAGAAAACCACCAAGCTCAGAGAGCACCAGGGACCCACAGTCGTCGTCGTCCTCCTCCTCCTCCTCCTCCACCACCACCACCACTACCACCTCCTCCTCCTTTCTGCATACCCCATTCCCTTCTTGCACTGATGATGTCACCTAGTTGGGTCATGAAACGTCTGCAAGAAAACTACCAAATTCAGAGAGCACCAAGGACTCCTTATAACATCATTTTTCCAACCCGGCTAGACCTGGTTGAACAGAATGCAATAGAGTAGGGAAGGCTAAGCGATGAACCAGCCTCTTAGCTAGGCACGGATGTCGGCATTTTGACCAACATTTAAAATTTGACCAACACACCTCTTGGGAAAGTTCTAACGATGCTCCTGACTATGAGGAAGCCGAAAGCAGCCCCTTTCAGTGGTGGGATTCAAATAGGTGAACAGCCGATTCTCTGTGTGGATGCCGCTTCCGGAAGTCCATTCTGGGCCTGGGCCACAAAAAATTAGCTACAGGTTCTGCCGAAGTGGAGCAAACCAGCTGAATCCCAGCACTGGATGGATGGATGGATGGATGGATGGATAGATAGATAGATAGATAGATAGATAGATAGATAGATAGATAGATAGATAGATAGATAGATCGATCGATCTTTGGTTATTCGGGTTTTCTCCTGCGTCAAATTGGAAGTGTCTTGGCGACGTTTCGACGAAGTCTCATTCGTCATCTTCAGGCTGGTGTTTTCGGCTTCGTGCTTCTAGGAGCAATCGTCACCAAGACACTTCCAATTTGACGCGGGAGAAAACCCGAATACCCAAAGACCTAAATACAAACACCCACGAAAACCTCAGAAAATAGATAGATAGATAGATAGATAGATAGATAGATAGATAGATAGATAGATAGATAGATAGATAGATAGATAGATAGATACTATAGGATAGATAGATAGATAGATAGATAGATAGATAGATAGATAGATAGATAGATAGATAGATAGATAGATAGATAGATAGATAGATAGATACGACAGACAGGCAGGCAGACAGACAGATAGATAGATATGATCACTGGTGGGATTCAAATAGGACAGTGAACAACCGGTTTTCTGTGTGGATGCCGCTTCCGGAAGTCCATTCTGGGCCTGGGCCACAAAAAATTAGTTACCGGTTCTGCCGAAGTGGAACCAACCGGCTGAATCCCACCACCAGCCCTTTCCTTGGGGTCATCGACATTTGCACTTCCATCCTGATCTTTCAACCACCTTCCACAGGGCAGCTGGTGGTCCTGACTGGGTGTTTCTAATTCCCTTGCAGCCCATACCTCCATCCCCGCGTCCGCGAAATCCTGTCGGATTGTGCGCTGCCGATTTCCGTCCTCACCTTCTCCGTGATCGGATCCCACTTCTTCGCGGAAATAAAAAGTAGGTCAACTTGCGGGGCGGGGGGGGGATTTTTTGAAGAAGGGAGAAGAGCATTCATTTATTTATTGACTTTGTTGGCCACTGACCTCGCAGCCAGCGGTTCTGTATCATTGCAACGTGGTTGTCCGCCTTCCCGGGCGCAGCAGACAGGAAGGAGCAAATTCTACTTTACGGCAGGGCTGCATTCAGATCAACCTCACCCGTCTGAAAGGGCAGGGAGTTCCTCGCCTTAACGACCGCCACAGGGCTGAAAAAAATTCCGCCGCTAAGCAAGACAGTTTTTGAGCTTTGCCCCGTTTGGCGACCTTCCTTGCCACAGTTGTTAAGTGAATCACGGTGGTTAAGTGGGTCGGGGTTCTCCCCCGTGGACTTTGCTTGTCAGAAGGTCACTGAAGGGGGAAATCACGTGACCCCGGGGCACTGCAAATGTGGTCAAAAATAGGGGTCGGTTGCCAAGTGCCCAAATTTGGATTGCGTGACCCTGGGGATGCTGCAACGGGCGTAAGGGTGAAAAACGGTCACGGGTGTGTATCTTTTTTCCAGTGTCGTAACCACTAAACCAGTGGTTCTCAACCTTTTTAATGCCGCGACACCCCCCCCCCAACCGGTCGTAAGTTGAGGACTACTCAACCGGTCGTAAGTCGAGGACTACTCAACTGGTGCAGCCCCGTTTGCAGAATGGGACTTTTGGCGGGCTCAGCAGGGCAGAGACAGCCTGGACAATTCCTATTGGCTTTTGAAAGCCAATAGAATTAGACTCTATTCAAGAGGGTCTATTCTATTGGCTTTCAAAAGCCAATAGAATAAAAGGGAGGAGCACAGCTAAGGAAAAGGGGGGGCAAAATGGCGGACTGCGTTGTTTGGCGATCCCCGTGAAATGGTCGTTCGACCCCAAATGGGGTCCTGACCCACAGGTTGAGAACCACTGCACTAAACGAAGCGTTGTAAGTCGAGGACTATCTGTACAAAATTTTCCTGGGGTCTCTTTGACAGCCTGGGGAGCTGGGAAGGGTCACTTCTGTATGTCTTTCTCTGTCCATTATGCAGCTGAGGGCTAGTCCCTCTTTTATCTTGACCAGGGAGGTCTTCAAACTCGGCACCTTTAAGACTTGTTGACTTCAACTCCTAGAATTCTGGTGGTTTCCCACAAAAAAAAAAATCACAAATCACCATCATGTGGCTTTGGGACACTGCTGTAAAAGTGGGCAGGTCACTCAGTGCCCCAAATGTGATCATGTGACCGTGGGAAGTGGCAGCCATTGGAGCTTCTAATACGGCAGGGGTCTTCAAACTTGGCCCTTTGATGACTTGTGGACTTCAACTCCCAGAATTCCTCAGCCAGGCAAATTCTGGGAGTTGAAGTCCACGAGTCATCAAAGGGCCAAGTTTGAAGGCCCCTGATATAGATTTTAAGAGGAGTGGACTTCAACTCCCAGAATTCCTCAGCCAGTGTGCCTGGCTGAAGAATTCTGGGAGTTGAAGTCCACAAGTCAGAAAAGGGCCAAGTTTGAAGACTCGTGTCTTAAATCTAACAAACAAAATGGAGCCGCTGGCTGAGGAATTCTGGGAGTTGAAGTCCACAAGTCATCAAAGGGCCAAGTTTGAAGACCCCTGATATAGACTTTAAGAGGAGTGGACTTCAACTCCCAGAATTCCTCAGCCAGCGTGCCTGGCAGAGGAATTCTGGGAGTTGAAGTCCACCGGTCTTAAAGTTGCCAAATTTGAAGGCCCCCGATATAGACTGTTCCCTAGGAGGCATCTCTTTCCACCCACCTGCATGTGTCAAGGTTGTTCTCGATCTTGACTACCTCCCCCGGGTTTTAATTATTTACTTATTAATCATTGTAGAAGGTTTACACTTATTTTTCTGCTGTATTGTCTTGTGATTCCGATTCTGGTGTCCGTCATAAAACAGGCATGAAATAATCAGAAACAAATGAGAGCCAGTTGGGTCTAGTCACTGTTAAGGTTCCAGGCTAGAAACATGGAGGCGATGAGTTCTAGTCCCAGCTTTTAAGCACGAAAGCTGGCTGGGTGACTTTGGGCCAATCACCAGGAGACGGAGAGTTCTAGCCTCACCTTAAGGCACAAAAACCAAGGGATAACTTTGGGCTAATCACCAGGAGATGGGGAATTCTAGTCCCGCCTTAGGCATGGAAGCCGGCTGGGTGACTTTGGGCCAATCACCAGGCGACAGTGAGCTCTAGTCCCTCCTTAGGGATAAATGCCAGCTGGGTGACTTTGGGCCAGTCACCAGGAGACGAGGAGTTCTAGTTTTATCTTTGACATGACAGCCAGCTGGGTGACTTTGGGCCAATCACCAAGAGACGGTGAGTTCTAGTCCTGCCTTAGATATGAAAGCCAGCTGGGTGACTTTGGGCCAGTCACCAGGAGACGGTGAGTTCTAGTCCTGCCTTAGGCACAAAAGCCACCTGGGTGACTTTGAGCTAATCACTCTCTCTCTCTCTCAGCCCAATCCACCTCACAGGACTGTTGTTAGGAAAACAGGAGGAGAAAGGTGAGTTGGATGTATTTGCCACCTGGAACGTTTTTCTTTTTAAATATAAAAATAATAACAGCCGCATAGAAACAAACAAATCAAATGCATCACAAAACTGACCCTTGTCAAACAAGCCGAGTCCCAATCTATATCTTCACAAGAAGTGTCTTGTATTCGCGGGCATTAAGTTCTCTGAATGATTCTAGTCCACAGTTTAATTTCACTTATCACGAAAAAAGACACTCTTACCGAGGTGTGTGTGTTTTTTTTTTGTTTGCCTTTTTTTTTTTTGGAGGGGGAAAAAAAAAAGAAACTTTATTTTTTCCGCCCAATTATTCTGGCAGCCGGCAAAAAGGCTGCCTCGTTACCAGAGGCAGGAAGAACCGCTGACGGACATACAGATGTAAAGGTTGACCCATCGTTTTTTTTCCTCCTGGTTTGATTTTTGTTTTTGTTTTTTTGCTGCTACTTTGTATTTTCCTAATTAAATGGCGCAAACGATCCCGAACAGCTGCTAGGCTGGGAGCATCAGACGTCGAAGGAAATCTAAAATATTATCCACGGCTGCGTCGGTCGAACAGATCGACTTTTCCGCATTAGGAAGGAAAAAAAAAAAAACCCCAATTCTCTCCATCCTCCGAATGACGTGGATTGGAGATGGGGAGAGATGAATAAAAAGGAAATGAAGAAATCTCACAATTCCCCTTTTTTTGTGTGGGTCGCATTCCACCGGTTTGGAACCAGAAAGAGGCAAAAACCTCTGCAGTTGTGTTGACTTGACACAACAAATTTCCTTGCGGGAAAGGGACAAAGCTCTCCACGCTTTTAAACTTCACGGTTTGACTTTCCCTGGAAAGATGCACGAAATCAATCTCAGCGGCTTAGATGGAAGACCCTCCTCTATGCCTGTTTATTTTATTTATTTTTTTTAATCTATTTTATTTGTATCCCGCCTTTATTATTATTTATAAATAACTCAAAAAGTGTTGAACGTACCTCATAGTTGCTATTTTGGTTGGGCTGAGAGAGAGGGAGTGGCCCAAAGATAAAACTAGAACTCACCGTCTCCTGGTGATTGACCCACTTTCACCTAGCCTGCTTTCATGTCAAAGATAGAACTAGAACTCACCATCTCCTGGTGACTGGCCCACATTCACCCAGCTGGCTTTCAGGTCAAAGATAGAACTAGAACTCACTGTCTCCTGGTGATTGGCCCACAGTCACCTAGCTTGCTTTCATGTCAAAAATAAAACTAGAACTCACCGTCTCCTGGTGATTGGCCTATAGTCACCCAGCCGGCTTTCAGGTCAAAGATAGAACTAGAACTCACCGTCTCCTGGTGATTGGCCCAAAGTCACCCAGCTGGCTTTCATGTCAAAAATAAAACTAGAACTCACCGTCTCCTGGTGATTGGCCCCAAGTCCCGAAGCCGGCTTTCGTGGCTTAAGGCGGGACTAGAACTCTTCACCTCCTGGTGATTGGTCCCCCTTTAAAACTTGTGGACTTTGATTCCCAGAATCCCGAAGCCAGGAAAGGAAGGGAGGAAACGGCTGGCTGGGGAATTCTGGGAGTTGAGGTCCACAAGTTGTCTTAAAAGTTGACAAGGCTGGAAACCCCCCCCCCCTTAACCTTAAAATTCCCGGGCCAATGGCTCCCCAGTCTCTTCTCGAAGACCTCCAGGGATGGAGCCCCCACCCGTTTTTCCCGAGTCTGTTGACTTTCCCTCGTTTTTCCAGTGTCCAAATTTAACTACAATCAGTCGGAGAGCTTGTTCGTCCTGGCGCCCTTGAAAGATCTCCACCTGGGCTCGGTCATGAGCGCGATGGGTCTGGGCTTCTTGCTGTCCATGCTCTTCTTCATCGAGCAAAACATCGTGGCCTCGCTCACCAATGCACCTGAGAACAGGTAAGCCTTTCCACTGCCGCCCCGTTAGCTTTTCTACTTCAGGTTCGGATTTTGTCACCAAAACGAGGCATCTCTGAGGACGTGCAGAGTTGCATCGGTCATCGTTGCAGCCGGTACAGACTCCGGCGAAGAGTTTCTGCAGGATTTCTGAAGAAAATCGACTTTTTAAGCATGAAACCGGAAGACTTTTTGCAGCAAAGTAAACTTAGGCTAAAGCAGTGGTTCTCGACTTTTTTAATGCCGCGACCCTCCCAACTGGTCGTAAGTCGAGGACTACTCAACCGGTCGTAAGTCGAGGACTACTCAACTGGTGCAGCACTGTTTGCAGAATGGGACTTTTGGTGGGCTCAGCAGGGCAGAGACAGCCTGGACAATTCCCATTGGCTTTTGAAAGCCAATAGAATGAGACTCTATTCAAGAGAGTCTCTTCTATTGGCTTTCAAAAGCCAATAGAATAAAAGGGAGGAGCACAGCTAAGGAAAAGGGGGGGAAAAATGGCGGACTGCGTTGTTTGGCGACCCCCGGAAAATGGTCGTTCGACCCCAAATGGGGTCCCGACCCACAGGGTGAGAACCACTGGGCTAAAGGCAAAGTTTTCCAATGGAGGGATTAAGTGTGGGGTCCTTAGTGCTCGCTGAGCTTGGTTGTTTCCTGGCAGACGTTTCATCGCCCAACTAGGTAACGTCATCAGTGCTGTTCCCTCATTTGGGTCTGCCAAGGAAACAAGCAAGCTCGGAGAGAACCGGGGAAACCTCATTTCAACCCTAAGCCACAAATATTCCCCTTTATTGGCTGTTTTCTGGCAGACGTTTCATGACCCAGCTAGGTAACGTCATCAGTATTCAACAGACAGATAAGCAGAGATTGGCACCACGGTTAATACTAGACCACCAATCAAGCAACAAGCAGTGCCCCCATCAAGAAATTATCAATTCAGAACAGTAAACATCAACCTAACCAAGGTAATACCAAGACGAGAACAATATCGTCACTGATGCTGACAGTAAGCCACTATATGTAAACAGAGCAAATCTACTAGCACTGATGATGTTACCTAGTTTGGTAATGAAACGTTTGCAAGAAAACAACCAAGTTCAAAGAGGACCAAGAACTCCACGGCTAACGTTCCCTAACTAGTTCCTTAATCAAGGAACTACAAAAGAGAAAAACATGTCCTTACGAATGTTGGTAAGAGAAGTTACTTGTACATAAAGACAGAGCAAACCACCCACTCTCTTCTAGCCCTGATGATGTTAACTAGTTGAGTCATGAAATGTCTGCAAGAAAGCCACCAAGTTCAGAGAGCACCAAGTACCCCACAGTCGTCGTCGTCCTCCTCCTCCACTACCACCACCACCAATACCATCAATCCAGAACCCCCTTCTCTTCTAGCACTGATGATGTTACCTAGTTGGGTCATGAAATGTCTGCAAGAAAACAAGCTCAGAGAGCACCAAGGACCCCTTAGTCATAGCCCTCCCCCTCCTCCCCCCCTTCTCCAATCCACACACCCTCACATTCCCTTCTAGCACTGATGATGTTACCTAGTTGGGTCATGAAATGTCTGCAAGAAAACCACGAAGCTCAGAGAACACCAAGGACCCCACAGTTCCACTCTGAGCTACGGCTACTCTCTTCTGTTGGAAGCCTGAAGTGTTCCAATTCTTGGGCTACAGATTGTTCTGGCTTGGCCCGGTGTCCCTACAACGAATCCTGGCTAACAAGCATTTTATTCCAGGTTGGTGAAGGGAACAGCCTATCACTGGGACCTGCTCCTGGTAGCGCTGATCAACACGGGCCTGTCCGTCTTCGGATTACCCTGGATCCACGCTGCCTTTCCTCACTCGCCGATGCACGTCCGGGCCCTGGCTTACGTCGAGGAAAGGGTTGAGAACGGACACATCTACGAGACGTAAGCCCTGAGTAGACCTTGCTCTGTTTTGGTGGAGTCAGAACCCATTTCATGGCATTGGAAGACTCTGAGCTGGCCAGCAGTTGCGGAAATCCACTACAAATTGAAATGGGAGTGGGGAGAGAGTGAGCCCGTGGTGGGATTCAACCGTTTCGCACGGGTTCGGTAGAACCAATAGTTAAATTCTGTTGAGTTCAGAGAACCGGCTGAACCCATGCTGCTTCTGGAAGTCCGTTCTAGGCCTTGGAGGCCGGGAGGAGGTCTCCCAGGTTTAGAACGGCCCACCGGAAGTGCGTGGATGTCACTTCCGGAAGTCAATTGGAGACCTGGAGGAAGTCTCCCAGGCCTAGAACAGCCCACCGGAAGTGCCAGATGAAGAAGTGTCAGCTGAAGAACAGGGTAGAGTAGGGTAGTTTAGGATAATAGAACAAAACAGAACAAAATAGAATAAAACAGAATAATGATAATAGGATAGAATGGAATAGAATAGAATAGAATAGAATTAAGAATAGAATTAAGAATAGGAATAGAATAGAATTAAGAATAGGAATAGAATAGAATAGAATAGAATTAAGAATAGAATTAATAGGAATAGAATAGAATTAAGAGTAGAATTAAAAATAGGAATAGAATAGAATAGAACAAAATAATGATAAGAATAGAATAGAATTAAGAATAGGAATAGAATAGAATAGAATTAAGAATAGGAATAGAATAGAATTAAGAGTAGAATTAAAAATAGGAATAGAATAGAATAGGAATAAGAATAGAATAGAATAGAATAGAACAAAATAATGATAAGAATAGAATAGAATTAAGAATAGGAATAGAATAGAATTAAGAATAGGAATAGAATAGAATTAAGAATAGGAATAGAATAGAATTAAGAGTAGAATTAAAAATAGGAATAGAATAGAATTAAGAATAGAATTAAGAATAGGAATAGAATAGAATAGAACAGAATAATGAATAGAGTAGAATAGAATAGAATAGAATAGAATAGAATAGAATAGAATAGAATAGAATAGAATAGAATAGAATAGAATAGAATTTCATATCCTAAAATTAAAGGCTGATTTTGTTCTACGCTTTTGAGAATTTTGAAATTTTTTTTTTTAACTGATACGATTTGGTCTCGATCTGCTATATAGCCTCACTTTGATTTCAAATGATCACATATGTTAGTACAATTTGGGAAAGAAAGATTATACTGCAGCGAGGGAACTGAATTTGAATCTGGATGTATAATCTTAAAACACAGAATTTGGCATCTCGTAACAAGCCTCGGCTCAGCTGAGCCCAGAGCGTGGCAATAATTTTATATAAGTGGAAAGCAACTTCTGATTGGAATGAACGGATTCAGGATATGAGTCATCTGTTTTTCAGAAGCCCTAAAATAAAAAAAAAAGGAGCAGTGTCTTTCTATATGGTCCAAATTTAATACCAAGGTGAATCATACAATTAATATTATATCCCTACAGATATTGTTTGGCATTTTCTCTCTCATTTGTTAATTAGCTTATTTTCTTTCCTAACGTTTGGTTTTATCTTAAATGCAATATTTTTTAATTAATTTCTTCACTGGAGAAGAATTATTATTGGTGGTATTGTATTGGTATTCTTCGACATACGTCCCCAATTCAGCCCAACATTTCTGTTGCTAAGCGAGGCAGTTGTTGAGGGAGCCTTGCCCCATTGGGTGACCTTTTTCACCATGGTCGCTAAGCGAAACAAGCAGTTCTGAAGTGAATCATGCCATCATTAAGCAACCCCGTTCACTTTGCTTGTCATGAGTTACAAAGAGTGATCACGTAATCTCAAGGTACTGCCACTGTCATGAACACAAAAGCATCCACATTTTGATCATAGGGCCACGAGGATGCTACAGCAGTAGGTCACTTTTTTTCAGCGCTGTTGTAACTTCGGTCACTAAGTGAATGATTGTAAGTCGTGGACTACCTGTGGTTCGCTGTTTGTCACCACAGAATTTGAAATATTTTTACAAAGAAAAGGAGGATTTCAGAGTTGGGAAACCAATGTCTTGTCATAGTTAATACTGTGCAGATATGGGCAAATGGGGGACAGAGTTTATGTTCCTTTAGGACAGGATAGGATAGGACAGGATAGGATAGGACATAATAGAACAGAACAGAATAGAATAGAAAATAATAGAAATGACAATAGAATGGAATAGAAATAACAATAGAATAGATTAGAGATAATAGATTAGAAATAACAATAGAATAGAAATAACAATAGAAATAACAATAGAATAGAAATAACAAATAGAAATAACAATAGAATAAATTAGAAATAACAATAGAATAGAATAGAAATAACAATAGAATAGAATAGAATAAAAATAACAATAGAATAGAAATTAGAATAGAATAGAATTAATAGAATAGAAATAACAATAGAATATATTAGAAATAACAATAGAATAGAATAGAAAAGAATAGAGTAGAATAGAAATGACAATAGAATAGAAATAACAATAGAATAGATTAGAAATAATAGATTAGAAATAACAATAGAATAGAAATAACAGTAGAATAAATTAGAAATAACAATAGAATAGAAATAACAATAGAACAGAAATAACAATAGAATAGAATAAAAATAACAATAGAATAGAAATGATAATAGAATAGAATAGAATTAATAGAATAGAAATAACAATAGAATAGACTAGAAATAACAATAGAATAGAAATTAGAATAGAATAGAACAGGATCTGTTGTTGCTTCAAACTGTCACTAAACGAAAAGTCGCAAGTCGAAAACTACATGCACATATAGCTAATTTCTGTTTAAATTACCAATGTGGTCCTCCGATTCCTCGGGTTCATGCAGTGTGGTTTCCATCATCTGCTAAAGAGCTGAAACTTAGTTCCGGGTTATCAATCGCGCTGAATTAATAACGACTTTTTTGTTTGATCCAGAGGTTGATCCAACAACTGAGTCTCTGGAAAAGGGAGATTTTTTTTATTAAAAAAATAATCCCAGCTGTGTCTGCTGTTTTTCGACTTGTCCTATTTCCTCTTCTTCTTTTTTTTTTTCTTCTTCCCTTCCCTTTTCTTTTAATGCTTTGAGAAAGAGGGCTGAAATGTTAGGTTGAAAAACTGGGTAGCTGCAACCAGGAAAGATTAAAAAGCAGCCGGGAGCTGGCAGGGCGAGATAAAAGCTTAGCCGACCACAGAGTCTAAATTTCTTTTTTTTTTTTCCCCTTGTTTTTAAGCTCCATGAAAGGGAAAGCCTAGAAGAAGGTTGAAGGGAAATCCATTAGCTGGGATGGAAATGGAAACGATCCAGAGGGCTTTCCCGAAAATCTGTTTTGCCTTTTCGATGGCTGGAAACCTCGCTTAAGTTAGATCGAAGCAAAAAACAAAACAAAACACCAGGATAGTCCTCAAGTTACAGCCGTAAAGGAGCCCAAAATTTATGTGGCTAAGCGAAACAAAGGAGGGTCACGTGATCCCCTTTCACCACGAGCGAAGTCCATGGCGGGAATTCCCTTAACAACTGCGTGACTTTTAACAACCGCAGGGATTCACTGAACAACTGGGGCAAGAACAGTCGTAAAATGGGGGGGGGAACTCTCCGTAACAAACGTTTCACTTAGCAACATAAATTTGGGGGCTCATTTTGTGGTCGCGTAACTCGAGGGTTACCTGTCGTTTCAGATCAGAGTTGGAAGAGTACAGAGCTAGAGTAGGGGGTTGGGCTAGATGACCTCCAAGGTCCTCCCAGCTCTGCTGATGTTCTACGATGGAAACATTCCTGGGAAGCTTTTATCCCATAGAAGGAGAAGAAGAAGAAGTAGTAGTAGTAGTAGTAGTAGTTGTAGTTGGAAGGGACCTTGGAGGTCATCTAGTCCAACCCCCTGCTCAGGCAGGAAACCCTATATACCATTTCAGACAAATGGCTGTCCAGTTTCTTCTTAAAAACTTCCATTGTTGGAGCATTCACCATTTCTGGAGGCAGGTGGTTCCACTGGTTAATTGTTCTGACTGTCAGGACTTAGTATACAGGCAGTCCTCATCTTACAAATGTTCATTTGGTGACCTTTCCGAGTTACAACAGCACGAAAAAAAAACATGACTTAACGACCATTTTTCACACTTACGACCTTTGCAGCATCCCCAGGATTCACACGATCCAAATTCAGATGCTTTGGCAAGTTGGTTCACAGTTACGACAGTCGCAATGTCCACGGTGGGGTCAGGCGATCCCCCTTTTGCGACCTTCTGACCGTGGGGGGAAGCCAGATTCACTTAACAACCGGGTTAACATAACAACGCTGCAGTTGTAATAAAATTGGGTAAAATTCATCAAGCCGATGTGTCACTTAGCACTGTGGGCGGGGGAATTCTGGGAGTTGACCTCCAGCCGTCTTCAAGTGGCCGAGGGTAAGAAACACCGAAATAATGAATCGATTAACCCAGGGGTAGGCAACCTGGGCTCTTTGATGACTCGTGGACTTCAACTCCCAGAATTTCTGAACCAGCATGGGGGAACCTTGGCCCCATCATGACTCGTGGACTTCAACTCCCAGAATTCCTGAGCCAGCAAGGCTCAGCTTGGAAACCTCTCCCTTTCCCCTCAGCATGGCTGGCTCAGGAATTCTGGGAGTTGAAGTCCACCCGTCATAAAAGAGCCAAGCTTGCCTACTGGATTAACACCTCTGCTGCAGGTGTGCAACACACGCACATTGACCCAGACTCTTCTCCCTACCTTAGGATTGTGAGTGTGAAGGAGACCCGGCTGACCACGTTGGTGGCCAACTCTTTGGTGGGCCTGTCGCTCCTGCTGCTTCCTTTCCCCCTCCAGCTGATCCCGAAGCCGGTCCTCTACGGACTCTTCCTCTACATCGCCTTCACCTCCATCGATGGGAACCAGCTCTTTGAGAGGGTGGCTCTCTTGCTCAAGGAGCAGGTAAGCTGCAAGAGGGGAGGGAGGGCTGGCCGGCTGGCCGAGCTGCTTCCTCAATGCCATATCTCGAGGATCATGGTATCATGGTTCCGACAGATGAAACTCTTCCAAAGAACCTCGAGGCATTGTTTACCTTAAAGAATCTTTATTTCGAGTAGCATAATATCGGCACTTACATACTCGAAGCCAAAAACTGAATTCCCCTCCCTTGAGCACATGGTATGAAAGCACAATTCCCTCCTCCAATTAACAGTCATAAAGCACATTCCTCAATCAGCTTGAAACGCTCCTCTCCAGCTCTCCAGCTGGCCAATTCCTTATCAGCTCTGGTTACAATAACCTTGATTCTCACCCTAGGTTTAGTGTTGTTATGTCCAGCCGGACTCTCATTCATATCCACCCCCCTTCCCAGCATCATCTAACTCTAAAAGCAAAAGGTAACCTTGAGCCTGGAGAGATTCGAACTGCTGACAGCTGGCAGAGCTTTTGCTTGCAGTGCTGCATTCTGACCACTGGGCCCCCCATGGCCCAAACACTCCTTGCATTTGTTGGGTGCTGATTTTTTCCTTCTTTCCAGACGGCCTATCCTCCCACCCATTACATCCGCCGGGTGCCCCAGAGGAAGATCCACTATTTCACCGGCCTGCAGGTGCTCCAGCTCCTCATTCTCTGCAGCTTCGGGATGTCCCCTCTGCCCTACATGAAGATGATTTTCCCGCTCATTATGATCGGAATGATCCCGATCAGGTAAGATCTTGGCCGTGGCCTCCTTTGCAGAGATGGCTTTTGACCGGATGGAGGGGCTGCAGATCCTGGCTTTGTAACCTCAGTTATCTTCCAGGCTTCGTTGTTCTCTGGATTTTGGGTGGAGCTACATCTTCAGCCTGGGGCCTGCTTGTATGTAGCAGGCCGCAAAAGAATCAGACCGATTGAAATTTGAAAGCGATTCCACCAACACGAGAGCTAGTTTGGTCTAGGGCAGGGGTAGGCAACCTTGGCTCTTTTGTGACTCGTGGACTTCAACTCCCAGAATTCCTGAGCATGGCTCAGCTTGGAAACCTCTCCCTTTTCCCTCAGCATGGCTGGCTCAGGAATTCTGGGAGTTGAAGTCCACGAGTCATAAAAGAGCCAAGGTTGCCTACCCCTGGACTAGACAATCTTGGAACATGGGAGCTTGTGAGTTCTAGCCTTAGGCAAAGAAGCTGGCTAGCTGACTTTGGGTCAATCACCAAGAGACAGCGAGTTGCAATCCCATTTTAGGCATGAAAGCTGGACCAATCACTAGGAGACAGTGAGTTCTAGTCCCGCCTTAAGCATGAAAGCCAGGTGGGTGACTTTGAAGCACTCACGATTTCTGGTGGCAAGCAGTTCCATTGGTTAATTGTCCTCACTGTTAGGAAGTTTCTCCTTAATTCCAGGTTGCTTCTCTCCTCAATCAGTTTCTAACTGTTGTTTCTCGTCCTTCCCTCTGGTGCTTTGGAGTATAACGTGACCCCTTCTTCTTGGTGGCAGCCCCCCAAATACTGGAACACTGCTATCGTGTCTCCCCTATTTCTTCTTTTCTTTAGACTACTAGCCAGACCCAAGTCCCACAGCCGTTCTTCGTATGTTTTAGACTCCAGGCCTTGGATCCTCTTAGTTGTTCTTCTCTGAATTGTTTCCCTCTTCTCCTTGCTCAGATACAACTTGCTCCCCAGGATCATCGAAGCGAAATATTTGGATGCCATGGACGCCGAACACTAACCCCGATGATCTCTGTCCTTGCGGTAGTCCGTCGCTCGTTTTGGTCTTCTGGAATGGAAAGGGGAGCTGCTGACCGACCAGGAGTTGCTCGTTTGGATGTCGGTCCATTTCTGCACCTCCTTGGCCGCCTTTCATTTTGAACTGCACTACAACTACGACCCAAAGTACTGACGCCACTGACCGATCAATTGCCCCCTCCCCTGTTTCAGGGTATGAGGTGGGAGGGGGGGAGAAGAGGCCAGCGAGACCCTCTCCCTTCTTTTATATAGACGGATACGCTCCGGATCCCTCCTCAAATGCCCTTTTCCGTTGGACATGAATTCTATGCAACTGGGAGCTTTGTGGTTTAACTTCTTGGTGCCCTAAATTCGGGTCGTCTTCTGGACGAGATGCACTCCCGGTGGATCTCCGGAGCAAGGAGGTCGCTGGAGACGCCCAGGTGACCTCTCTGTGGGATTTTTTTCCCGGCCTCTCTCTTCCACCAAGGGGGCGTCTCCGCACCACGGCGAGATTATCTTGGAAGCTGCTTCTCGTCGGCCATCGTCTGACTTGGCCCGGCGTCTTTTCCCGAGCAGCCTCGCCCTCCGACGTGCATCACGACTTGAGCCTTTCTTTCTCCCGGCCCGTAGTCCAGGACTAGATCCTGTGTACATAATTATACATAGCGGAATCTTAAAAATTTTCTGTATATATTTTGCATATAAATAACCGTATCCTGGGGGGTTTTCGATGCCTTTTCCTTTCCAGAGGACTGAGGAATTTTTGTGCAATCAGTGTTAACTCGTACTGTAAACGCCCCCTTGCCCTCGTTCATTTATTTCCTTCCCCCGTTTTTTTCTCTCTTCTTATTCTTAACAGCCTGCTGTTTTGTGTTTGGTTTTTCCTTGTTTACATGGATTGCCCACCTGAATATTTACTTTTGGGGGGGGGGTTGGTTCTGGCCTTTAAAGTCCCATCTCTGGATCGCTGCCGGCGTTGGGGGCTGTGGGGTTTGGGGGTGTTTTATGGGTTTTTGGGGGGGCAGCCTTTCGCAGCTTGGTGCCTTTCCAGTAGGCTGGTAGGGTGGGGGTTGATTCCCATCGTCCACATTTAGCCCAGGAGAATGGGACCTTGAACCCAAGGCCGTCCAGAGAAGAGTCACCAAAGGAACTAATCTCGTTGCTTTTTCTTTTTTGGGGGGGGGATTTCTATCGTGGGGTTTCTTCCCTGTTCTTTTTTTTTCCCCTCCCCACGAAAATTGTATTTCTGGAATGATGTTCAAGTTTGTAATTTTCTCCGGATTATCACTTGTTCATGCATTGGGCTGTTTTGTCCTCTTTCAGCCCTCCTCCTGAGTCCCGCAAAAGACGAAAAGGAAAGAAAAAGAAAGAAAACACGTGTTATATTTGAGACCGTTGTCTGTTTTTCCCTCCCCTTCTCGCTCCTCCGTTTCGCGGGACGTTAGAAATCCCCTCGAGAGATTCCTAAAACACAAGAACATGGAATAAGAGAATTGGAAGGGGTCTTGGGAGGCCTTCTAGTCCAGCCCTCTGAAGAATGGTAGCTGGAATTGGGTATGTCCGTTTTAATGAGGGGTGTCATGATGGCAGTCTTCTGATACTTGACGGGCTGCGACAGAGAAGAGGGGGGTCAAATAATTCTCCAAGGCGCCTGAAGGCAGGACAAGAAGCAACAGGTGGAAACTGATCGAGGAGAGAAGCCACCTGGAATTAAGGAGAAACATCCTAACAGCCAGGACAATTAATCAGTGGAACTACTTGCCACCAGATGTTGTGGGTGCTCCAACACTGGAGCCTTTTAAAAAGAGACCAGACAGCCATTTGTCTGAAATGCTACAGGTGGTCCTTGACTTAACGGCCGCAACGGAGCCCAAAATTTGTGTCGTTAAGTGAGACGTTGGTTCAAGGGCTTTTGACCCATTTTACGACCGACCTTGCCACTTGCTAAACGAATCATTGCAGTAGTAATGTCGGGAGGTTCGCAAACGGTGGTCCCATGACCCCGGGGATGCTGCAACCATCATAAATAGGAGTCACTGGCCAAGTTTCTGAATCTTGATCACGTGACCGCCGGGAGGCTTGCAACGGTCGTAACGATTGAAAAGTGGTCATAAGTCAGTTTTTTCCCATGCGGTTATAACTGGAAGATCACTACATGAACCATTATAAGTTGAGGACTGCCGTATACCGGTTCTCCTGCTTCTGCATAGGGTGGGACTAGAGGACCTCTAAGGATCCCTTCCAACTCTTTGTTATTTGGTCAAAATGTTTTTCTCCACAATTGGGAGCCCTACGCAGCGCAGACTCTATGAAGGAGAATATTGGTAGCTCGGGTTGAAGTGAGGGGGTCCTTGGTGCTCTCTGAGCTTGGCTGTTTCCTTGCAGACGTTTCGTGACCCAACTAGGTAACATCATCAGTGCTAGAAGGGAGGGGTTTGTGGAGAGGAGGAGGAGGACTGTGGGGTCCTTGGTGCTCTCTGAGCTTGTTCGTTTTCTTGCAGACGTTTCATTACCCAGCTAGGTTACATCATCAGTGCTAGAAGGGAGTAAGGTTTGCTGGGAGGAGGAGGAGAGGACTGCGGGGTCCTGGGTGCTCTCTGAGCTTGGCTGTTTTTCTTGCAGACCTCTCATTACCCAAGTAGGCTACATCATCAGTGCTATTTGCTGTCTGTTGATATATATAAACGGTCTGCAAGAAAACAAACTCGGAGAGCACCAGGGATCCCTCAGCACAGAATCTGGCAGAAAACAGTCTTCTCCAATATGATAGCTCCTGGGAGTCTGGAGATTGCACCAGGCGATGCCATTAATAGTTCCCAAAAAAAAAAAAAAAAACCCCGAAGTTCCCATCACTTATTCGTCTTCTAATGTGTCCCGAAGACCTGGCTGTTGCCATAAAGGGCTTTCCTTCCCTTCCACCGGTGGATTTTCTTGTGCATTGTCCTTCTCGCAGCTTCTCTCCAAAAGTGGGATGAGGCTGCCACCTAGTGTTTGCAGGGAGCAAATGTCCTTTTGGCACCCTTGGCAAAAAGAACCCAGACCATAGTAGAATAATAGGATTGGAAGGACCTTGGAGGTCTTCTAGTCTAACCCCCTGCTCAAGCAGGAGAGCCTATACCAGGGGTAGGCAACCTGGGCTCTTTTATGACTGGTGGATTTCAACTCCCAGAATTCCTGAGCCAGCCATGTTGAGGGGAAAGAGGTTCCCAAGCTGAGCCAGGCTGGCTCAGGAATTCTGGGAGTTGAAGTCCACGAGTCATAAAGCAGCCTAGGCCTAGGCCAGGGGTAGGCAACCTTGGCTCTTTTATGACTGGTGGACTTCAACTCCCAGAATTCCTGAGCCAACATGGGGGAAACTTTGGCCCCTTCATGACTCGTGGACTTCAACTCTCAGAATTCCTGAGCCAGCCATGCTGAGGGGAAAGGGAGAGGTTCCCAAGCTGCACCAGGCTGGCTCAGGAATTCTGGGAGTTGAAGTCCACCAGTCATAAAGTGGCCTAGGCCAGAGACAGACAACCTTGGCTCTTTTATGACTGATGGACTTCAACTCCCAGAATTCCTGAACCAGCCATGCTGAGGGGAAAGGGAGAGGTTTCCATGCTTAGCCGTGCTGGCTCAGGAATTCTGGGAGTTGAAGTCCACAAGTCATAAAGCGGCCTAGGCCTAGGCCAGAGGTAGGCAACCTTGGCTCTTTTATGACTGGTGGACTTCAATTCCCAGAATTCCTGAGCCAGCCATGCTGAGGGGAAAGGGAGAGGTTTCCAAGCTGAGCCAGGCTGGCTCAGGAATTCTGGGAGTTGGTCCACAAATCATAAAAGAGCCGAGGTTGTCTACCCCTGGCCTATACAGATAATCCTCAACTTACAACAGTTTATTTAGTGACCGTTCAGAGTTACAACATCCCTGAAAAAAGTGACTTATGACCGTTTTTCACACTTAACAACCCTTGCACCATCCCTATGATCGCAGGATCAAAATTCATACACTTGGCAAGTGACTCGTATTTATGGCAGTTTGCAGTGTCCCCAGGAGTCACATGATCCACTTTTGCGACTTGCAAAGTCAATGGGGGAAGCCAGATTCACTTAACGGCCATTGTTACTAACTTAACCACCGCAGGGATTCACTTAACTTTTGCACCTGACTCATATTTACGACGGTTGCCGTGTCCCAGGCTCATGTGATCAACATAGGCGGCAACCTGAACAAGCAAAGGAAATGGGGAGGCCAGATTCCTTTAATAACTGTTACTACAGTAGTTCACTTAACAACTCTGGCAAGAAAATGTCGTAAAGGGGGGCAAAACCCACTGAACAAATGTCTCACCTAGCAACGCAAATTTTGGGCCCAATTTGTGGCCGTAAGTCGAGGAACAACTGTACCCTTTCAGACAAACAGATGTCCAATCACTTCTTAAAACCCTCCAGGGATGGAGCACCCACAACTTCTAGAGGCAAGTTGTTCCACTGGTTAATTGTATCAGGCAGTTCAAGGTTATAACAGCCCTGTTTATTCACACTTAACGACCGTTGCAGCATCCCCTGGATCCCCTGATCAAAATTCGCATGCTTGGCAACTGGCTCATATTTATGACCGTCGCAGTGTCTCCCTGGGGGTCACGTGATCCGCTTTTGTGACCTGACAAGAACAACTGCAGTGATTCCCTTAACCGTGGCAAAAAAAAGGTTGTCAAATGGAGCAAATTTGGGGCACAATTAATTATGCCTGCAAGTTGAGCACTTCCGGATCCTGTAACTGATCTTAAGTAAAATGAATCTGAATCGATCTGAAATAAAATTGCTTAGCTTTTTTATTTTAGCGCTAACATTTTAGCACTAAACGAAAGCAAAGGAACTGCCGAAAAGCTCACTAAAATGCAGTCACTCGGCCCGCCTCCCACTTGTTCTACCTCACACGGCTGTTGTGAGCAACGGTGTTCACATTGTGTGGTCAAAAATAAATAATAATAATGAAGTTGGAAGGGACTTTGGAGGTCATCTAGCCCAACCCCTGTTCAGGCAGGAAGCCCTATACCATTTCGGACAAATGGCTGTCCAGTCTCTTCTTCAAAACTTCCAGTGTTGGCGCATTTACCGCTTCTGGAGGCAGGATGTTCCACTGGTTAATTGTTCTAACTGTCAGGAAGTTTCTCTTTAGTTTTAGGTTGCTTCTCTCCTTGATTAGTTTCCACCCGTTGCTTCTTGTCCTGCCTTCAGGGGCTTTGGAGAATAGCTTGACTGCCTCTTCTTTAGGGCATCCCCTCAGATACTGGAAGACTGCTATCATGTCACCCTGGTCCTTCTCTTCATTGGACTCTATGCTATGACCGATGCACGGCTTGCTTTTTTAAAGGCATCTCTGGGTTTCGGTCACACCGTCGTCAGCCATCTTGACTTTTTTGACCACCCCCGGGTTGTGTGGGTGAACCAACATGGACTCCCGCAGCTCCTGATGGTGGGGATGAGCTATGAATAAACACGAAAAAAATAATCTCCAGTTCTCTGCGCTGTTTGGTCGTTCTGGAGGCCATCTGGGAAAATGAGTAACGGTATATTTTAAAGAAATAACAAGATGCACCGGAGTCATAAGTAAATTATTTTGGGGGATCAGTGTCATCCCTCCAGCTTCCTCGCTTCTGATTCCGCCCAGGAGAATAATAACAATTATAATTCTGTGCAAAAAGCCAGAAATTCAGAGCGAAAGACTTCACGGGCGTCTTTGAACAGGAGAAGCCGCCTTGGTGGGAAGATCCATCCCACGACTTAAAATTCTGCATCAAAATTCCTAAAATTCAGGATACGGTGAGCCCTAGGCTGCTGCTGTCAGTCCCCGACTTAACATCGATTCGTTCAGCGACCGTTCAAAGTTACAACGGCAGCTGGAAAAAGTGGCTTACGGCAGCTGCTTCTTGCAAAGAATATTTTTGCTCATTCATTCGCTCCGCCGTCTCCTCCGGTTAGAGAGGGTGGGCAAATTTTTGAAATAGAGGGAGGGTCTTTGGAAGGGGATGAAAACCAGGCCCCAGGCCCAATTTTGCGATTTTGAAAAACCCACCAACTCGTCTCTTATCGCGCACGCTGCAGGAGTGTGAGGCGATTGTTGCCATTTTCTGCATCCATTTTTCTCTTCTTTGGAGTCTGGTATAGTCCATGACTTCACAACCGTTCCTTTAGTAACCGCTTAAAGCAGTGTTTCCCAAACTTGACAATTTTAAGGCATGTGGACTTCAACTCCCAGAATTCCACAGCCAGCAATGCTAGCTGTGGAATTCTGGGAGTTGAAGTCCACATGCCTTAAAATTGTCAAGTTTGGGAAACACTGGCTTAAAGTGACGGCGCCGAAAAAAGGGACTTACGGCCGTTTTTCACACAATTGTTGCAGCATCCCCAC